TCCTCATCGCCAGGAACCTTGTCGTCACCGCCAGGAACCTTGTCCTCTCCCCCAGGAACCTTGTCCTCACCGCCAGGAACCTTGTCCTCACCGCCAGGAACCTTGTCCTCACCGACAGGAACTTTGTCCTATGCGTAAGGAACCGTGTCCTCACCGACAGGCTAGGAACCTTGTCCTCACCGACAGGGACCTTGTCCTCACCGCCAGAAACCTTGTCCTCACCGCCAGGAACCTTGTCCTCGCTGCCAGGAACCTTGTCCTCACCGCAAGGAACCTTGTCCTCACCCCCAGGAACTTTGTCCTCACCCCCAGGAACCTTGTCCTCACCCCAGGAACCTTGTCGTCACCGACAGGAACCTTGTCCTCACCGCCAGGAACCTTGTCCTCACCATGAGGAACCTTGTCCTCACCCCCAGGAACCTTGTCCTCACCGCCAGGAACATTGTCCTCACCCCAGGGACCTTGTCCTCACCCCAGGAACCTTGTCGTCACCGACAGTAACCTTGTCGTCACCGACAGGGACCTTGTCCTCACCGCCGGGAACCTTGTTCTCACCGAGAGGGACCTTGTCCTCACCGCCAGGAACCTTGTCCTCACCCCCAGGAACCTTGTCCTCACCCCCAGGAACCTTGTCCTCACCCCAGGGACCTTGTCCTCACCCCAGAAATCTTGTCGTCACCGACAGGAACCTTGTCGTCACCGACAGGGATCTTGTCCTCACCGCCAGGAACCTTGTTCTCACCGACAGGGACCTTGTCCTCACCGACAGGAACCTTGTCCTCACCCCCAGGAACCTTGTCCTCACCCCAGGAACCTTTTCCTCACCCCAGGGACCTTGTCTTCTCCCCAGGAACCTTTTCGTCACCGACAGGAACGTTGTCGTCACCGACAGGGGCCTTGTCCTCACCGCCAGGAACCTTGTCCTCAGCCCAGGAACCTTGTCGTCACAGACATGAACCTTGTCCTGACCGACAGGAACCTTGTCCTCACCGCCAGGAACATTGTCCTCACCCCATTAACATTGTCGTCACCGACAGGAACCTTGTCCTCACCGACAGGAACCTTGTCCTCACCGCCAGGAACCTTGCTCTCACCGACAGGGACCTTGTCCTAACCGCCAGGAACCTTGTCCTCACCCCCAGGTACCTTGTCCTCACCCCAGGAACCTTGTCCTCACCGACAGCAACCTTGTCGTCACCGACAGGGACCTTGTCCTCACCGCCAGGAACCTTGTCCTCACCGCCAGGAACCTTGTCTTCACCCCCGAGAACCTTGTCCTCACCCCCAGGAACCTTGTCCTCACCCCCAGGAACCTTGTCATCACCCCAGGAACATTGTCCTCACCGACAGGTTTTATCTCGCTGTTATATCTATGATTCATGAATGGTCGCAAGCTACTGATGTCACTGGCTCTGCTGTCAGAATCATCCTGTTCGATTATAGAAAAGCATTCGACCTTATCGATCATGCTTTACTGGCTGATAAAATTTCCAATTTAGCTATTCCACGTGCTGTTGTTCGCTGGACAATCGATTTTTTGATGAATCGAAAGCAGAGAGTGAAATTATCCAATGGCTGTTATTCGGAGTGGGGTGATGTACTCTCCGGTATCCCTCAAAGTACAAAATTAGGGCCCTGTCTATTTTGTTTAATGATAAACGATCTTGATATTTGTGATATATCGAGGTGGAAGTTTGTTGATGACACAACAGTTGCTGAAGTAGTTAGTAAGGACACAGAGAGCCGTGTTCAAGTCGCAGTTGATGTTGTGGAAGATTGGTCGAAGGCAAATGGGCTATTTCTTAACGCTGAGAAATGTAAAGAACTGAGAATCGATTTTAAAAAAAACCTTTTGATCCTGTACTGGTGGGTGGAGAAGCATTGCCTATAGTTGAGAGTGCAAAAATATTGGGTCTTGTTATGACAGGCACACTTCAGTGGAAAGATAACATCAGAGAGAGTATAAAGAAAGCTAATAAACGCCTCTATTTTATAGTATTATTGAAACGGGCAGGCGTAAATGTCAATGATGTCTTGAACTTTTATTGTACAGTGATCAGGCCTGTGCTCGAGTATTGTGCGCAAGCCTTCCATCATTCCATCCCAAAGTATTTGGCAGACGAACTTGAGACTGTCCAGAAACGTGTGCTAAAAATTTTATCTCCTGAAATGACATATTGTGAGGCCCTTGAGTATTATAGACTGCCTACTCTATTTCAAAGAAGAGAGGACATGTGTGACAAACTCTTTACGAGTATCATCAAGGATCCAATGCATAAACTTCACCATCTGCTGCCCCCGAAGAACGAGACTGATTACTCTTTCAGGACGAATCGGTATTTTAATATGTACGTTACACGCACGAACCGCTTTTATAACTCTTTCATCACTGCTATGTGTAGGAAGTTTGTAGGATAGATTTTATGCTTATTTTAATCGAATTTTGATCGTGGGTGGCTTTTATAATATTGTATTAATAATATATTTATATGTAGTGCATGTGATAATATGTAATCCACGCAATTCAGCTTCTGGCTGCAATGTGGTTTCAATTTAATAATAATAATAATAATAATAATAATTTTTAAAATACAATTTGCGGACTCGTCTAAATTCTAGTCTCTGCTACAGGGGCCTTGAATTTCAATAAAACATAAGGTTCGAAACGGCATAATATTAACTTTCACGTCTTTTTCGATTACTCAGCTGGAAAAAGCTGCATTTTACTTCCTCGGACAAATATAGTGATGCACGAGTAAGGCATCGACAGAAAGCCTATTGATCATAGACTCCAAAAAATGCAATTTTCAAACTGGTCCAAATTTAAGTCTCTGCTACAGGAGCCTTGAAATTCAATAGGACATAAGGTTGGAACCACCATAATATTAACTTTCACGTTTCTTTCGACTGCACAGCTGAAAAAACTTGCTTTTTATATGTCCACGGATTGTCTAGTTATACACGAATGAGGCATCGACCGCAATCCTATTGTACGTAGTTTCTAAAAATACAACTTTCAGACCGTGACAAATTCAAGTTTTCGCTACAAGTGGCCTAGCAATTCAATAGAACATAAGATTCGAATGCGCATAATATTATCTTTCACGTCTTCTTCGAAAACACAGCTGAAGAAACTTGCTTTTCATGTCCACAGATTGTCTACTGATACAAAAATGAGGCATCGCCATCGACAAAAAGCCGATTGAACGTAGATTCCAAAAATACAATATTCAGTCCGTAACAAGTTCTAGTTTTTGTACAAGGGGCCTAGGAATTCAATAGAACATTAGATTCGAAAGCGCATAATATTAACTTTCACGTCTTTTTCGATAACACAGCTGAAAAAACTTGCTTTTTATGTCCACGGATTGTCTAGGTATGCAAGAATGAGGCATCGACAGAAGGCGTATGGAATGTAGATTCCAAAAATACAATTTAAAGACTGTGACAATTCGTTTTTTGGTCCAAGGGGCCTAGAAAATCAATAGAACATAAAATTCGAAAGCGCATGCATAATATCAACTTTCACGTCTTTTCGATTTCACTGCTGGAAAAACTTGCTTTTTGCGTCCATGGACTGTTTACTGATACAAGAATGAGGTATCGACGGAAAGCCCTTTAAATGTAGATTCCGAAAATAGAATTTTCGGACCGTTACAAATTCTAGTTTTTGGTGCAAGGGGGCTAGGAATTCAATAGAACATTAGATTCGAAAGCGCATAATATTAACTTTCACGTCTTTTTCGATTACACAGCTGGAAAAACTTGCTTTTTATGTCCATGAACTGTCTAGTTATACAAGAATGAGGCACTGACAGAAAGACCATTGAAGGTAGATTCCAAATATACAATTTTCAGACCGTGCCAAATTCTAGTTTTTGTACAAGGGGCCTAGGAATTCAATAGACCATTAGATTCGAAAGCGCATAATATTAACTTTGACGTCTTTTTCGATTACACAGCTGAAAAAACTTGCTTTTTATGTCCACGGATTGTCTAGGTATGCAAGAATGAGGCATCGACAAAAGGCGCATTGAATGTAGATTCCAAAAATACAATTTACAGACGGTGAGAGAATCTTGTTTTTGGTACAAGTGGCCTAGAAATTCAATATAACATAAGGTTCGAAAGCGCATGCATAATATCAACTTTCACGTCTTTTTCGAATACTGAGCTGGAAAAACCTGCATTTTACTTCCACGTACAAATATAGTGATGCACGAGTAAGGCATCGACAGAAAGCCTATTGACCATAGATTCCAAAAATACAATTTTCAAACTGGTCCAAATTTAAGTCCCTGCTACAGGAGGCTGGAAATCAATAGAACATAAGGTTGCAACCGGCATAATATTAACTTTCACGTTCCTTTCGATTGCACAGCTGAAAATACTTACTTTTTATATATGTCCAGGGATTGTCTAGTTATACACGAATGAGGCATCGGAAGAAAGCCTATTGTACGTAGTTTCTAAAACTACAACTGTCATACCGTGACAAATTAAAGTTTTTGCTACAAGGGGCCTAGGAATTCAATAGAACATAAGATTCGAAAGCGCATAATATTAACTTTCACGTCTTTTTCGATTACACAACTGGAAAAACTTGCTTTTTATGTCCATGCACTCTCTATAGTTATACAAGAATGAGGCATCAACAGAAAGCCTATTGAACGTAGATTCCAAAGATACAATTATCAGACCGTGACAAATTCTAGTTTTTGTACAAGGGGCCTAGGAATTCAATAGAACATTAGATTCGAAACCGCCATTAACTTTCATGTCTTTTTCGATTACACAGCTGAAAAAACTTGCTTTTTATGTCCACGGATTGTCTAGTTATACACGAATGAGGCATCGGAAGAAAGCCTATTGTACGTAGTTTCTAAAACTACAACTGTCATACCGTGACAAATTAAAGTTTTTGCTACAAGGGGCCTAGGAATTCAATAGAACATAAGATTCGAAAGCGCATAATATTAACTTTCACGTCTTTTTCGATTACACAACTGGAAAAACTTGCTTTTTATGTCCATGCACTCTCTATAGTTATACAAGAATGAGGCATCAACAGAAAGCCTATTGAACGTAGATTCCAAAGATACAATTATCAGACCGTGACAAATTCTAGTTTTTGTACAAGGGGCCTAGGAATTCAATAGAACATTAGATTCGAAACCGCCATTAACTTTCATGTCTTTTTCGATTACACAGCTGAAAAAACTTGCTTTTTATGTCCACGGATTGTCTAGTTATACACGAATGAGGCATCGGAAGAAAGCCTATTGTACGTAGTTTCTAAAACTACAACTGTCATACCGTGACAAATTAAAGTTTTTGCTACAAGGGGCCTAGGAATTCAATAGAACATAAGATTCGAAAGCGCATAATATTAACTTTCACGTCTTTTTCGATTACACAACTGGAAAAACTTGCTTTTTATGTCCATGCACTCTCTATAGTTATACAAGAATGAGGCATCAACAGAAAGCCTATTGAACGTAGATTCCAAAGATACAATTATCAGACCGTGACAAATTCTAGTTTTTGTACAAGGGGCCTAGGAATTCAATAGAACATTAGATTCGAAACCGCCATTAACTTTCATGTCTTTTTCGATTACACAGCTGAAAAAACTTGCTTTTTATGTCCACGGATTGTCTAGGTATGCAGGAATGAGGCATCGACAGCAGGCGGCTTGAACGTAAATTCCAACAATACAATTTTCAGACCGTGACAAATTCTTGTTTTTGGTACAAGGAGCCTAGAAATTCAATAGAACATAAGATTCGAAAGCGCGTGCATAATATCAACTTTCATGCACGTCTTTTTCGATTACACAGCTGGAAAAACTTGCTTTTTATGTCCACGGACTGCATGTTTAGTTATACAAGAATGAGCCATCGACAGAAAGCCTATTGAACGTAGAGTCCAAAAATGCTATTTTCAGACCGTGGCAAATTCTAGTTTTTGGTACAACGGACCTAGGATTTCAATAGAACATAAGATTGGAAAGCGCATAATATTAACTTTCACGTCTTTTTCGATTACACAGCTGAAAAACTTGCTTTATATGTCCACGGACTGCCTTGTTATACAAGAATGAGACAGCGGCAGAAAGCTCATTGAACGTAGATTCCAAAAACACAATGTTCAGGCCGTGACAAATTCTAGTTTTTGCTACAGGAGCCTTGAAATTCAATAGAACATAAGGTTCGAAACAGCATAATATTAACTTTCACGTTTTTTTCGATTACACAGCTGGAAATACCTGCATTTTACTTCCACGGACAAGTCTTGTGATGCACGAGTAAGGCATCGACAGAAAGCCTATTGATGGTAGATGCCTAAAATACAATTGTCAGGCTGGCCTAAATTCAAGTCTCTGCTACAGGGGCCTTGAAATTCAATAGAACATAAGGTTCGAAACGGCATAATATTAACTTTCACGTCTTTTTAGATTACACAGCTAGAAAAACCTGCATTTTACTTCCACGGACAAATCTAGTGATGCACGAGTAAGGCACGCTGTCATGCTACCGGTTTTTTCCCTTCCAGGTCTTAGAGATTCCTGCTTTTTCCCTTCCAGTAGCGACTATGGTGTGGCGCATGCTACCGCGCATGCGCCACACCATAGTCGCTACTTAAAGATTAATTAATTTCATTGGTAGTATTTCCTCCATAAATTTGCCCCGCTGCACTTTCTTTTGTATTATTCTTCTTCTTTCCTCCGCCATGTTTCTTCTTTATTATATTATGTCATTCGTCCTCGAACCGATCCTGATACACGACATTGGCTTTTACAGTCCGATATCGCGACCACTAGACCACTTGCTCGTTGTTGGAAGCCTATCGCAACTTATTTACCTCGACGTTTCTCTCTAGATTGTATAATTAACATTCGACACATCTCAATCACAAAACGACTTCAGTAGGACTTGAACCACAATGGTACATTGTACAACCTGTAGTCGTTACCACTAGACCACTTGCTCGTTGTTGAAAGCCTATCGCAATTTATTCACCATGACCTTTTTCTTCTAACCTGCATAATGAATAATCGACACATTTCAAGTCACAAAATGAATTCCGTAGGACTTGAACCACAATGGTACATAACACGACATGTAGATTCTACCACAAGACCACTTGCTCGTTGTTGAAAACCTATCGCAACTTATTCACCATAACCTTTTTCTTCTAACCTGCATAATGAATAATCGACACTTTTCAAGTCACAAAATTACTTCTGTAAGACTTGAACCACAATGGTACATAACACAACATGTAGATTTTACCAAAAGACCACTTGGTAGTTGTTGAAAGCCTACCGCAACTTATTCACCATGACCTTTTTCTTCTAACCTGCATAATGAATAATCGACACATTTCAAGTCACAAAATGACTTCAGTACGACTTGAACCACAATGGTACACACAACATGTAGATTCTACCACAAGACCACTTGCTCGTTATTGAAAGCCTATCGCAACTAACTTATTTACCTTAAACTTTCTCTCTAGATTGTATAATTAATATTCGACACATCTCAATCACAAAACGACTTCAGTAGGACTTGAACCACAATGGTAAATTATACAACCTGTAGTCGTTACCACTAGACCACTTGCTCGTTGTTGAAAGCCTATCGTAACTTATTCATCTTAACCTTTCTCTCTAGATTGTATAATTAATATTCGACACATCTCAATCACAAAACGACTTCAGTAGGACTTGAACCACAATGGTACATTATACAACCTGTATTCTTTACCACTAGACCACTGGATCGTTGTTGAAAGCCCATCGCAACTTATTCACTTTAACCTTTTTCTTCTAACCTGTACAATTAATATTCGACACATTTCAAATGACAAAACGACTTCTGTTTTCTTCTTCAAAGATGAAAAAAGTGGCTAAGGGCCTGTTCATATGGGCAAAGGTTATCCCGGTTAGCGAGAAACCTGTCGACAAGTTTACAAGCGAGATATTGCCTTGGTATGAAAATAATATGAAAAATGACACTGCGTTCATATAAGACAGGCGAGATCTCGGTGATCGGGATGTTTTTCCCATATGAACACAACTACACAACTTTCCCGCTTAGGGCTAGTTTCCACTCAGGAAAATTATCCGTGGACTGGACAGGACAAAAAATTTTCTTAGTCTTGTGAGCTCTGGTTTGGAACTAATGACTTCAACACAAAGAAAAATTTTCTTGTCCGTTCCAATCCACGGATAATTTTCCTGAGTGGAAACTAGTCTTTAGCGGGATAACTTTCGGTCGTGTCAGCAAATTTTCAATTCAATTGATGTTCATGCAGTGCTACGTCACAGCCGAAAACTTTACCCTGTAAGCGGGATAAAGTTTCTCCATATGAACAGAACAAAAGTTTTGGCTAGTTGAAAAGTTTTCTCGTTAACCGGAATAACTTTTGCCCAGGAACAGGCCCTAAAAATGAACGAAAAGTTAAGGCTATAACCTTACTTTTTTTTGCATTTTTCCCCCTTTTTCAAAAATGAAAAAAGTGGCTAGAAATGGACGAAAAGTTTACGCTATAGCCTTTTTCTGCCCCTTTTTCAAAAATGAGAAAGCGGCTAAAACGTAAGACTATAGCCTTGGCTTCTCGTCCATTTTTAGCCACTTTTTTCATTTTTGATAAAGGTGAATTAAAAAAGGCAAAAAGGTAAGGCCATATCATTAACTTGTCCTTTTTTACACACTTCTCATTTTTGAAAAAAGAGCTAAAGATGACATAGATCATTTAATTAAAATTCTGATCTGTAAAAAATATACGTATATAAACAATAGATAATTTAATTAAAATTCCGATCTTTGGGTCCACAGATCGGAATTTTAATTAAATTATTTATTGTTTGAAACCAATCTCGTTGTAGTGGCATGACATAACCCGCAAACAGGCATACTCTGGGAACGAGATTGGTTTGAAGCAAAAAAATGTACACCGATCGGAATTTTAATTACATTATCTACTGTTTGGAACAAAAAATGTAAACAAAACACGCGCATGAGAACGGACTTGACAGCCTGATGGTGGTCTTCGTTGGTGAATTTTAGCCACTTTTTCAGAACCTCAAGAAAGCTAGAGAGTACTAACTCTTTAGTGATTTTGCCACTTTCGAGTTAAAAAGTGGGTCAAAATCCCCTAAATGTCAACGGCCAGCCATTAACACACCGGACGCGATGCGATCAACAACGCGACGCGATTTTTCGATTTTCACTGACCGATAACTTTGACCCTAGTTTAAATTTTCCAAATATTTAGAAGCGTTATAACATTTTGAGTTATTTGGTCTAGCTATCTTTTAAAATTTGCTCTCATTGACTGTTTTATAACTTTCAAAAACTAAAAAAATCGCGTCGCGTTGTCGAATTGTGTCCGGTGTGTCTGGGTCTTACCCTTAACGAATTTGTTCGCGCGCGCGAAACGAGTTTGTTTATCGCAGTCGCGTTTGACGACGTGAATAAGCGTTTTATATTGTGCCGTTATTGCGAATGTTTCTCCGCTATTTCTATAATTATATACAGTGCATGAAGTTTAGATAAGAACAACTTTATTTAAACACATTAGCCTTTTCAGCAAGTGCTGATTTCCAAAAGGGATGTGTAAATATTTACAACTTATAACTACTTATACATACAATTGGACAAATAAATAAACAGTTATTACACAATATAATATTAAGGTCTAGGTGGCTTGGAACGTAGCTATAATACGTAGGCAGTGTATAAGCCCGTATTCAGACTACATTGAAGTATAGCTTGAATCAGACGAAATGCTAACTGGGAATGGGATAATGCTTAGAACTTTAACTATTTTTGAAGCTTAGAGAATGATAAAGAACCCCACAAAACTACATTGCTTATTAATACAGCTAATTCAATTAAAGTTGTCCTTCCAAAAACTTTTAACCTTAAATTCTGAGCGCGCAAGGGATGATGGGTTATTGCTTATTTAGACTCATAAACTTGGCTTTGCAAGAACACCCAAGACATATTGAAGATTCACGACAGAAAACACACTTGCTGCAAGGCAATTTTCTGAGTTGAAGGGCCGAATAGGTTAAAACTGATCATCCTTGCATACGCACTCAAAGTTTAATGTTTAAGGTGTTGGAAGGACAACTTTAATTGAATCAGCTGTATAATTATGCGAGTTTGGCGACGTATATACGATCATGTTAACTTCGTTCAGAAGTCTATAAAAAGATTTTGGAATTGAAAGACTGCCTATATTAGTGTATAAAAAACAAGAAGATAAATTGACTAAGGAGCATCGGAAAATTCTCAAACTTGCAAATAATTGTATAATTTTTGTTGGAATATTTATTTTTTGCAAAGCTTTCGATCTCTATGCGTGGAGGACTTCGTCAGTGCAAATAACGAGATTTTAGTATTTCTTTTATTTTACATTTTAGTTTATGTTTAGGTTGGATTTTATTTTATAAGTTAGATTTATATATTATCATCTGCGCTGACGAAGGAAGGAACTGCGGGATGTACGGATCGAAAGCTTCGGCTTATAAAAATAAACGTGATGTTTTAGGAAGTCAGACAGATTCTCCTTAGTCAAAATTTCCTCTAGATGATCTATACAAGGTATTTCTTGAACGTTACAAATATATATATATAGCCTATATGTACAATTAGTACAATACTTATGCATACTAAGCTTGGAAAAATTAATTCACTGAAATTTAAAAGTCCGTTTGAAATGGCGCCTTTTTCAAACGGACTTTTGGAATGTCAGTGAAATTCGATACGAGTAACATATATTAACGTTTTAATCTATATAAAAGCTGGTTTAAACTATCCAATGTCCGTGAAATAGACGACTTAACCTGCTGATCTGAACTATTATACAAATTGACCTGCTGACCTATTATACAAATTAACCTATGCATACACGCAAGTTCACTTCGAAAAATGTCTCGTTTTAGGCAAGATCAGTATGATCACAAAAAGACATTGATAATCTAACCCAGCTTTACGATGGATATAGCTACTACAGCTAATAATCTTATAGTTATAGTCTATATGTATACATGCAGCTTATTTGATGTCTAGTTTAGCCTATAAATTTCAATCGAGTGTTCTAATTAAGGATCATCACTGTAATTATATAATCAGTCAACTGGGCTATTATAATTCATTATTTGGAATATCATACGTTAAGAGGCTTGATCGAGATTGAAGTCCATCGTGAGTTCTTGAATTATAAGCTTGAACCACCATCATCTCTTGTAGTATATAGGATTCTTAAAACTTGTCCATCCTGTAATTCTGAAATTCTACCTATAGAAAAAAAAATACGATGTTAATTGAAGCGTTTTGAACAACCTATTTTGGAAATTATCGGGTCGGCAGGAAGCTACAGGAAGGATGTTCCGTGATTAGTTGATTACGACAATGACAAAAGAATAAGCTATAGAATGGGGGTCGATTGGGCTGCGTCTTTTGTCATTGTCACATAGCCAACCAGTCACAGGACATCTTCCTAGAGCTCAGTCGTGTTTACTGAAATTATCAAATGTTAAAATTTCGAAATAATCGATTGCATGAATGTCTTCTGCATCTTCAGAGACTTCAGAACTGCACAGTCATCTAAAAAGATATTTAAAAATTTTAGCATGGAATGTTAAAATGAAGCAAGGGGAGTAATTACTTATATAATATTGTAAGTAAATACACTATAAGCAGAATTTTTATACTTTTATTGATCTTTTAAAATCTTTTACAATATTGTGCTTATACGATAAGCAAGTAAATATGTACTCCATGGAAAACTTCTGACATGTAAAATATTTGATATAATCTCTTTTCAATGATGGTGTATAACCTTAATTTACTAACAAGTTTCGGTATGGTCTATGTTCGTATTATAAACTGAAGTCTTCTACTCTTTATAGCTTGAACTCTTTTATACAAGTCGCCTTCGGTTTTTAAATAACTTGCTTGACTATCTGAAAGAAAAACTTTTGAAAAAGGTTAATGATAATTATATAGAACCGCTATATTAAGGGGGGGGGGGGTATTTCTATAGTAAAGGAATAACACAATCGACTATGCATCGTTTTTTACTTTTATTCATCTAAATTAAAAATCTATTTTACAAGTGAAACTAATTAAAGACAATTAATGTAAATATCGAATTGTGTATAACTTTCCGAAACAATATCGTCATAACAAGACAGGTTTTGTACTTTATAGTTTATTCAATAAACACTTCTATATATACTACATTTACATTTTTTAACTAAGTAACTATCAGTTCTTCAACTTCTACACTTGGATCGACGAACCGATTCCTTGCATGCAGTATTCAAGATTCGTTGACTACAATATGTACAAGCTTGTATTACTATTATTACAAAGTTTAATTTAAAAATTAAGGTCCAAATTGACCTTGAGCTCCTTCGTTACACTTCTTACTTTTTCAATTTCTTAGGACCTGAAACAGAACTTATAAAAAACGAAAAAGTTAGTTTGTAAAAATTAATTATATGTGGCAAAATTTTCCAAATATAATATCGCTTCGTTGGAAATCTGCCACATTCTATGATATTAATTCTATGCTAAAGAAGAAAGCATCAAGAAAACAATTATTTTAGAACTTTATTCAATATTTGTTTCTATTTCTATATTACAAGCGAAGTTAAGAGAGATTAAATTGTACATTCTTATTTGTATTATAACCGAAAGTTATATTCGCCATAAAAATCAGACCGAATTATATATATAGTTTCTTTATATTATTTTTATTTATTCAAGAATATATCTATATTACATCGTCTTTAATTAAACTACAGAACGTTATAAACTTGCACTTGACATCATGTATAGAATTCAGCGTGCATGCTATGACGAAAGGAATTCATTTATATATTACAAGTTGAATTGAAACGTCTTCCTATACAACTTTAAATCTTTAACAATAATCTTCAGTTCTTTCAACACCTAGAAAAGTCTTAAATATAGTCAGTTTTAAAGAAAACATATTTTGTAGAGAATTTCCTTAATTTCATGATATCGCTTCAATAAGGAAATCCACCACGTTCTATAATATTTCTAATTTGTTACATAAAGAAGAAAACACCTAAGCAAAATTATCATTCTTTATTCAATATTTTTTCTATTTCGATATTATACAAGCAGAATTTATAATACAGTGATATCCATATATTGTAAATTAATGTTAGGCATTTATTCAGAAAGAATTACATGGTTTTAGACTTTCACGAACTAAAATCTATTTGGTTTGATTTTAAAATCATTTACAAGTTTAAAGAAGATCTTTTGGGAGCAGAATATTCATCTTGCTATGTCCATATCACCTCATGATCAGATCTTGAATTTCTGAAAGAGACGTTTTCTGGAATTCGTTAGTTTAAGAATTAATACTAGGTGTGAAAAGTTTCCCAAAGTTTGAACTGTATTTGGGGTACCTGCCACAGATCATAATTCTATATTTTATAGAGAAGAAACACAGAAGCCAACAGCTTGTTATCTTTTATTCAAAAAATAATTAATATATTTACATGTATTAGGAAAATTCATGCAACCGTCAACGTTGTGTATGATATATTAGACAACAATTAAAGGACACAAGTTTTTAATTTTATTTATTGAAGACTTATCTAGTACACTGAAGATGGACTCATGATGAAAGAGGATGTTTACGACATTTTGCAGGTCAACTTCTTTGACATTGTTCAACAGAGATACATTAACTATTTATAGTTCGAGTATAGTATAGGTGTATATAAGAAGGAGGTCAGACTACTATTACAAATGTATTAGCTGCGACTTAAAGCACGTCTCTAAATTACTCTAGATAAAATTTGAAATAGAAACGCGATTAACTTGCTCTTTTAGAGGTAAATTTATGCATGAAAGTATAATTTTTAATGACATGTTATGACGATGAGCTGTAAAATTCAGTTTTAAATGTTGCGAATTGGATATGCATATGTCTATGCTTTGCATTTACACATATGAATTGTAATTTTGACAAATATGATGCAGATCGGCTTAAAGCAAAAGATTTGAAAACTTGGAAATGGCAGCGAGTTTATACTGATGTTAGGTGCACTCTTTTTTCGAGCCTATTTTATGTATGGGAGTGTTTGAATGAGGAGTTTGACAAATATGATGTCAAATTTTAAATGTTTCTAGCATGTACTTTTTGGTACCATGCATGCATGCATGTAATTGAAATATTGACAAATATGATGCCAACTTTTACCTGTGCATTTTGGTATACTCATGCAATTTTGAATTAAAGAATTTTTTTTAATGCTACGTACATGTGCTTTTTGGTACTTATGCAATTTTGAATTTAAGAGAACAAAATTCACAAATACAATGCCAATTTTTAAATGCATGTTGCTTACACACATGTGCTTTTTTTGCACACATGTGCAATTTTTGAATTATATTATTAACAAAATATATAACAGGAGACTTAGGGAAAGTTCGTTCCTAAACATTTTGAAGAATTTTCGATTGTTTGAAAGGAAAATTGACAAATATGATGCCAATTTTTTAATGTTGTTTTCATGTGCTTTTATTGAACTCGTGCAATTTTGAATTTGTTAAAAAGGAAAATTGACAAATATGATGCAAATTTTTTTAATGTTGTTTTCATGTGCTTTTTTGTACTCGTGCAATTTTGAATTTATTAACTGAAAACGAAAAACTGACAAATATGATGCCAATTTTTGAAATGTTATTTTCGTGTGCTTTTTTTGTACTCGTGCAATTTTGAATTGTTTGAAAAGAAAAATTGACAAATATGATGCCAATTTTCGAATGTTATTTTCATGTGCTTTCTTTGTACTCGTGCAGTTTTGAATTTATTACTGAAAAAGGAAAATTGACAAATATGATGCCAATTTTTAAATGTTATTTCCATGTGCTTTTTTTGTACTCGTGCAGTTTAGAATTTATTACTGAAAAAGAAAAATTGACAAATATGATGCCAATTTTCGAATGTTATTTTCATGTGCTTTTTTTGTACTCGTGCAGTTTTGAATTTATTACTGAAAAAGGAAAATTGACAAATATGATGCCAATATTTAAATGTTATTTCCATGTGCTTCTTTTGTACTCGTGCAATTTTTAATTTATTAAAAAGAAAAATTGACAAATATGGTGCCAATTTTTGAAATGTTATTTTCGTGTGCTTTTTTTGTACTCGTGCAATTTTGAATTGTTTGAAAAGAAAAATTGACAAATATGATGCCAATTTTCGAATGTTATTTTCATGTGCTTTCTTTGTACTCGTGCAGTTTTGAATTTATTACTGAAAAAGGAAAATTGACAAATATGATGCCAATTTTTAAATGTTATTTCCATGTGCTTTTTTTGTACTCGTGCAGTTTAGAATTTATTACTGAAAAAGAAAAATTGACAAATATGATGCCAATTTTCGAATGTTATTTTCATGTGCTTTTTTTGTACTCGTGCAGTTTTGAATTTATTACTGAAAAAGGAAAATTGACAAATATGATGCCAATATTTAAATGTTATTTCCATGTGCTTCTTTTGTACTCGTGCAATTTTTAATTTATTAAAAAGAAAAATTGACAAATATGGTGCCAATTTTTGAAATGTTATTTTCGTGTGCTTTTTTTGTACTCGTGCAATTTTGAATTGTTTGAAAAGAAAAATTGACAAATATGATGCCAATTTTCGAATGTTATTTTCATGTGCTTTCTTTGTACTCGTGCAGTTTTGAATTTATTACTGAAAAAGGAAAATTGACAAATATGATGCCAATTTTTAAATGTTATTTCCATGTGCTTTTTTTGTACTCGTGCAGTTTAGAATTTATTACTGAAAAAGAAAAATTGACAAATATGATGCCAATTTTCGAATGTTATTTTCATGTGCTTTTTTTGTACTCGTGCAGTTTTGAATTTATTACTGAAAAAGGA